CTGGTGCGGCGCGGTGGGCGAGGCGCTCCTGGCCGTCGGGGGTCTGGGCGCCGACGGCGAGGCGCTGGCGTCGGTAGAGATGTACGACCTGCGCCGGGACCGCTGGACGGCTGCCGGGGCGCTGCCGCGGGCGTTGTATGGCCACGCGGGGGCCATCGGGGACCGCGGCATCGTGTACATCTCTGGGGGTAAGGCGGGGAGAGGCGAGGGCAGCTCGAGCAGCCTCCGGGACATGTACACCTTGGGCCCTGGGGAGCGAGCGTGGAGCAAGAGGGCGCCCATGAGCACTGCCCGCTTCGGGCACCACATGGCTGTGCTGCGAGGCGCGGTGTTCGCCTTTCTGGGGCGCTATGAGCCCTTCTCTGAGATCGAACGCTACGAGCCCGGCACGGACCAGTGGACTCGACTGCGGCCGCTACCTTATGATCGCTTCTGCTATGGGCTGGCCGTTGTGGAGGAGACGGCGCTGCTGCTGGGCGGCCTCAAGTGGCGGGATTCGCGGCAGGTGTCTACCCGGAACGTGGTGGGCTACGACCTCGACCTGGACCGCTGGGAGGACATTGGCTGCGCGCTACCCTGGGCCTGGAACGGCCTCCAGTGTGCAGTGCTGCAGCTGGCTGAGGGTGGGGATGAGGAGAGGGAGGGAGGGTTCGGAGAAACGCCAGATTTAATGCTGGGCTTAATGGGTTAGTGCAGTCTCCGGGCGACAGGGGAGAAAAAGTTGCGCTTGAGCAGGTTTACAGAGTAATACGTGGGCTTTTCCTAAGAATGGGACTCTGGGAGCAGGGCGGCTTCTGAAGTTTAAATATGCAAACAAGGGCTTGGCCCAACAGGAACATTTCCCCTTAAGCTGAGAATGGGAGACAGGATGAGTCAAAACAGAAGGATATATGTATCTGCTTCAGTGAGCTGGAAGTCTAGGAAGACTCACGCTGGACTAGAGATGGACTTTTGCAAAGAAGATATGACCCTGTTTTCCCTCTTAAAGTGTTTCCTTAGGTGCTAGACTGATTACTTGTGCCAAACAAGGCCAAAAATGTACAAGAAATTATATACAAAACCCAGAAAATTGTTAGCTATAAAAGCTGTAATAAATAGTCCGAAAATATGGCATTATCTGAATAAATAGTGAAGGGAAAGTGCCTTCATTAAATAGCATGAAATCACTGTAAGGAGAGCTATGATTTTATGATCCAGAACCATGTTTATAGTTCTGTTCTGTTGGTTTAATATAAATGTAGAACTGAGAGAGAAAAAAAAAATCTCTAGGAAAGCACTTGTTTTTGGAAAAAGTATACTAGGTTAAGTTTTTGTGTCCCTCATCCTTAATCCCTAGCCTGCTTTTGCCTTGGCTTTAGGCCATTCATTGGTTTTATTTCAGCAGTCCTTAGCCATAATAATCAGGCTCTTTTGGTTAAGCAGCACATCTAGCAAAACCCAAACCTGTTTCTTTCATCTTTAAATATTCATTCTGCAGACATGCCATAGGTTATATTTGTAAAAAAAAAAAAAAACAACCCCCCAAAACAATAACTTATTTTTGGTGGTGCACCCCCCCCCCACTTCCCAAGAATCAACAGAGGAAGGAAAGAGGAGTATGTGAAATTTTCAAGTTTGTGGCAGTTAAGTGGGAAACCAGCTTGATTTTGCAGGGTCTCAGAAAACATACTTGCATACACTGAACAGCTGCTGCTTCTGGCTTATACCACCAGTGGAATGGCAAAGTTAGAACTGGTAACTAGGGAAGGGGGTAGGGGGAAGATGGCTCTGTGATTAGGTCTCAAAGAAATGTGGTGAGGAACTCTGCATGAATAAAGTAGGTGCTTTGTAAGGATTCATTAAGAGCTAAATTTATTTCACTTCAGTTTACAGTGCTGCCTCTCTCCTAGATTTGAAACTAATGCAATAAAATGTACAGATAAATATAGTGTTAAAAGGTCTCTTTCATGCTAAGCTAGTCACGAGTCTTTTAAAATTCATTAGTTTAATTTTTACCATTTAAAACAACAGAGCTGACTTTACAAAGGTAAAAGCTGCTTAGTAGCAACACAACTAGTCTTTCCATCAACTGCTCGTTGTTTACAGGGTACAACCTTGCTGCTGTATCCATGACACATCCATCAGGTACAGATATTTTTAAGTGAATGTACACATTTGGTCTAGTGAACATCAACAAGTCTAAACACCTGTAACAAGCACACTTCATTTTAGGACAAGAGGTTTTTGTTTTTTTACATATACAAAATTCCACAAATTTAATGTACGTCAATATCCATGCAGTAAATAAATGTTTTTACAAATAGTTTTTTAAATGATAAAAATATTACACTAGACCCCAAATTCCATACAAACATTAATACATGATTTCTCATCCATTTTGACTAAATATAGGATTACTGAAAATGTGCTGTAGAAAGGCCACTCTCCTGTACAGTGTGCAAAGTCTGCAAAACGATAGTGATTCAATGTTGATTTCAAAAGCAAAGAAAATGATCCCTGCTGTGGAGTTTTTACTTCCTCCCCTACAGCAAAAAATATTCACTGGCATATATCTGAACTCTTAGAGATGAAAGTACATTCACTGAGCTGTACAGGCAACAGTATAAAGCTGATTAGAAGTAGATTTAGGATATAGAATAGTAAAGGAGGGCCCCTTCCTCCTCCTAAAAAAACAGCAAATTGTGACTTGTACGTTATGCAGCCAGACACTAAAAAGCAGCACAGTCATTATCATGCTGTGATCACTTTCAAAAATGAGATACTTATAAATGGAAATATGTGAAGAGTGCTTTTTTGTAGACTTCATCCACTCTACAGAACAATTCATGAAGCTAGGAAGAATCTCTATAAATTCTTTCTCTCATGTAATTCATTGTAATATATCTCTGAATGACCATCATCCTCTTGCTCCTCAGGAGAGAGACACATTTTTATTTTGCAACATTGTTTTCATATTAGAACACACACCAGCCTGTAACTAAACATATTTTACTCCCCTGCTTGAAGTATAATTATGTAAGCTTAATTAATGGACTAGGGGGAAAATTGGAAAAATAACTGGAAAGTTGAGTCATTTCAGTTTATACCTTGTTTTTTAGGAGCTGGAGTTTAAAAACATGAGTTTGGGCTAAAATTATATATATATATATATATATA